TTCCTCAAGAAGACAAAGAAAAAAAAAAGAACTTTATTCCTATTGTTAGAATGTCAGTACCTGGAGAGCCTTTAATTTTTTCCTTTATAAAGCTTTGAATTGTTCTGTTTGAAGTTCAAATTCAGGAATAAAACAAGAGTCAAAACTGAAAGTATGTTTCTATATAGGAAATTAATGGACTTAACCAGGAAAAAGCTGTGTTTAGTTCTAAAGCTTGTCACATAAAAGGAATTTTAACCTCTTTGGGATTTCTTTTTTTTTTGATCCCCCAAAGGCCATTTTTCTAACATTTTAGAACTATAGAATGTGTGTACCTTGATAGTTGTGTGTGAAAATTTATAATGGGCACTTCGTGAGGTTGATCAAAATCCCATTGAAGGGAACATAGAGCCTGGCTTAGCCCTTAAATACTGAATTACAATAATTTAAGCTTCAAAGTCAGAATTCATATAAAGCAAATAAAAATTACCACTGTGCCTTTGAATTTCAGGCTCCCCTCTATGTGTATTAGTGGAAGGAAAATTGCACTTGCAATGGTCATCATGCAGGTGTTGGCCATGTGTTTTGCTTTTCTTGTAGATTCTGAGTCCTCTCTGTCTGATCAACTTAAAGTCACGGTTCAGGTAACAAATGCTCCCTTCACAGTCGTGACCCATCATCTCCAGTGTGAGCACATCTTCATTACTTACATGTCCATGGAGAATTTGTGCTTGTGCTTGGCACTGCTGAACATGGCTCTGACGGTGTCCAGGTGCCCACTGCAGAACCACATTGCAGAGAACATCCCCGCCTGCCAGTCTCAGAGGGCTCCAGTTATTATGGTCTAAAAGGTCAGTGGAAGAGCAAGAGAGACTTACAGAAATGTGTGCAGGCCTGGCTGTTGAGGGCTGAGAGCTGGCACACGTGTTCAAGCATCCTTGTGCTGCTGGTGCTCAGGAACTGTTGAACCACGAGTGCTTGGCCACCAGCCTGAGCTTTTCCAAACAAGTCACAATCTTAATAGACCAACAGGCTGGTAATTTGAATTATGGAGGAGGCTCATGGCCTTTGCTGCATCAAACACCTGCCCAAGGCTGTGCAGGGAGCGGTCTGCTGTGCCCAGTATGTAAGGACAAGAGATTTTGTTGAAAACATTGGTCATCCTTAGAATGAGTCTGATCCACTCTTGCTTTGCAGCAACTTTATGCTTATGCACTTCCACTAAAATACCTGGAGTTTTAAGCTACTGTCTACTGGTAGTCTTTGAAAAATACTGACATTCCTAGTTGTTTAATGAATCTTTAATGGAGCTTTTACTGTGTGTGAGGGTTTGCATATTGATTTGTGTGTGCATATTTAGGTATTAAGAAGAAAAGTAAAGCTATTGAGAGACTTCTGCGAGATTTAGAGAGAGAAATGTACTGTTACAGATTAGAATAAAGTGTAAAGGTTTTTCACTCCTTAAAATGGAGAAGTTGACATATTAAATTGCATGTACTCTAATGATGTGGACTGACTCAGAGAATTTGAAGAAAATAACAGCTGTGCAAATCAAAGCTTAAAAATAGAAACTTCATCAGTCAGTAGCAGTTCAGAATGAATGAAGAAATCACAAAATTATTAATTATAGTGTTTAGAGAAAGGAAACATTAAGTTCAAACTTTCTGAAGGCAGAATGCTGTCTTCAGTCATGCAGCTCATCTGCTGGGTATCAGCCCCTTGTCCTGCTGAGCCCTCTGTTAAAGTGGGGGCTGTTGTCCAAACACAGGCACCTGCTGCAGATTCAGACAGCCTGAGATGATTCAGGTTTCCCACCTGAATGACAGCTGTGACATAGGGCATATGGGAGACTCCTGCCCTTCTGGAGTGGCAGCTGGATGCCCTGAGGCATCTCAGATGGCAGTAGATGCTTCTGTCTAAGGGGTAATTGCACATAGACATAAGTACAAACTCACTTTCACTTGCAGCTTTAATACACAGTCATCAGGAGTTCCTAGCAGTGTTTTTCCAGTGGGTAATTGCAGAAAGAAATGAACAATTTATGTCATTTTAAACTTTGGAAGAATTTTGAGGTGAATAGAGCAGTTATACAGGTTAAAATCTGACCAGGATATAAAGTCAAAAACTATCCTAGTGTCAAAAATTGTACTTAAAAACTATGATTTTAAGTTGCAGGAGATGGTTGTTTTCTTAATGACCTCAAATCCATGAATTCATTCTAACATTTGCCTTTTAATATATTCACAGTTAAATATAGCTTGAATGTTGTCCTAATTACATTCTCATGTTAATTTAGCTCTGATTCAGAATTTCGATCATTATTCTTTGTAGAATTATTTTGAAATGATGGAAAGTTCAGTAAAGATGCTCTAGTGTGTGATTGTGCCTTTGAATTATTTATCACATTCCAAGACAGAAATATAGTTAAAACCTAGTTTGAGTTGTAAATGAGTTTTGGTAATGTAAGGAGGAAGTGCAAATCCTTTTTGCAGAACGATGTGTTTTATGGGTGCATCATTAGGTGCTGCAGGAGAGCTTTGAGGCCCCGTGTGAGCAGAGAGGCTCCCGGTTAATGAGGAAACATCCACTGCACCAACTGGCTAATGCTGTCTAAGCAGATGAGACAGATAAAGTGGGGGAGAGGAGAGATACAGAGGCAACTTGCCGAAGTGACAGTGAAAATTAGTGACAAAATTAAGAAAAGAAAACAGATGTCCTGTCTTGGTCACGACCAGCCTCCCCCTCTGCAGTGTGCTATGGAAACAAAAGCTTTCACAAGCAGTGTTTAGCTCATGTTTTTCACAACCCTCTGCAGTGGCAAGTAGTACAGTGCTAATATCAGGTTGAAGTAACCATGATTAATGCAAAAATTATGTCTGTGGCCCTGAGCTAGGTAGAGAACAAACAATTGCTGGTGAGGTGTGTACGAGTCTGAGGGGGTGAGAAACTTCTGGGGAAAATTCTAAAGGAGAAAAGGAAACTTGTCTTAATGTAAGCAGCAGTTTTGCTAGAGGTAAGTGAGGGGAAATTCTTCATTTATAAATGGTTCATTGAGCCATGATAATAAAGCAGTGCTGCAGAAGAAGGATAATTATCTACTTAAGTATCAGATGCCCTAAGGGTACAAACTTCCCTTCTCTCCTTTTGAAAAATGAACTCAGCTTAAGCGAATGTCCTTTTTCCTGTTTCAGTGTTGACATGGATTTCCTTTTTATGAGTAAAATTAATTAGTTTTTCTATTCCTTTATTCCTGGTGTGGAAATCAGGTCTGCCAAGCAACTTTCCAGCTCTTCCCTTGGGCCCTGAGCTCAGCCAATGGCATCCTTTGTAGAGGTGCTTTGTACAGTGTGCTGGGAAGGCACAAATGAATTACAAGGGGTTTACTGTGCCCAGTAGCTTACCAAGAGGCACAGCTTCTCACAACCAATACCCCACAAAACTAGGCTTTTTGCCCCCATCCAGGGTTGTTTTGTTTCCAAGTACCTGCTTTCTAAATGTGTACATCTCCTTTATTAAATGGTAATACGGTGAGTTGTAAAATGAGAAAAGGAAAATAGTAGTGGCATAGCTGATGCTGCACTAGAAAAACTGAGAAACAGATTTTCAAAGCAGATTAATACCCACAGCTGGGACCAGCCTTCTCCTGTTCTGCTGGGAGCTGCTAGAGGTGGAGCTCGCTTGAAAATTCTGCTCTCACTTTCACAAATATCCATTACAGACTTGTCTGTCCTCATCTGGACTCTGAAAAATGATCAAAACCTGCCACCACTTCTTTACTTCAAAAAATGTCTGGTTTTCTCCCCATCAGAAATATAAGTGCGATTCCTGCAATAACCTTGGTGAATGCAAACATGTTGTCTCTGTGCTTATGGAAATAATTAATCTTTCACATGTATTAATCTTTCCTTGTTTCAGATGTCTCATGTGGTTCTTGAAAATCAGGTTGATGTAACCTTTGTGTGAACCTGTTAACTGCAGAGCAGCTCCTAGTTATCTTTCCTGGATTATAGAGAATGTTCCTGAATACCTGCAGGCTTCAAGATGCAGTAAAAATAAAGATGACTGTAATACAATGGCATGGAACTTAATTTTCTTCAAATAGTCCTTTGAAAACTCATTTTAATACTGAAAAAAATAATTTTCATAACCGTTGGTCATGAAAGTTCAAGTGATGTTAAAGGTTATCTTAAGGTCTTTATTCTGCAAATACTCTTCTGTAAGTCAGCAAAGAATCCTGTCTGCAGGGAATTGAAATGAGAATCAAGTCCCAAGTACTTGCTTGTTGGATTTCCACAACTGAGGCTCTGCTAAGAATTCTGGACCATATAAATAATGTTACAAAATTGACTTTCTAGCGAGGAACCATAGCAATTATTAATTACTGTGAACACAGCAGATCTGATGACTGTGAACAGTGTCTGTGTACTTCCATTATTTACTTTATAACTTCATTTCACCGACTCACGAAGCACAGTCACCAACGTAGGATTAAATCAAAGTATGTTTACAGGGTTGTGAACACTGTGCTTGAAAGGAAATAGTCTTAATTATCTAAATGGTTTTTTTAAAAACCAATATTTATAACAGTTGAGCATTCCTTGTGAATCATAATTGATGTTGTGTACAAAGAAGCAATCTGCTATGATCAGCATAGTGTCAGCTTTTCATATTTGGGTACCTAAAATTAGAGGTCAAGATTTTAAAAAATATGTATCACCTGTGTGGAAAAGCATTGTAAAACTGCTGTCTCAGACCACACTCCCAAACCTGTCTTAAATTCCTTTGGCTTTCTCCCGTTTTTAATCACAACAGAAAATGTCTCCAACTTTCAGAGCTGTTAAACACGAGCATTTCTCCATTGAGATGGTAAATTTGAGCGTGTGAAAACTGCTTTCCTTTAGATGTCTCAGTAGTAGCACATGGACCTTAGTTTAGTCATTTTGGCCATATCTGAGGGATTTGAGGAAACCAGATCTGAACAAAGCATCGCATGATTCTCTGTACTGAGCTCTGTGTTTTAGATACTCTTGCAGTGTCATCGGAGAGGAAGAGTTTAGTCAATTTGGAGGGGATCAGAACCAGGTTACAGGCTGGGGATTGAGACACTTCTCCTGTGGACCACTCAGATTCTGTGTTTGTGCCTTGACACTGCCACCTTCAGATGTCCTTGTTTGTCCCCTGCGGCCGGTGGAGCGTTTCCGTGACCTGCGTCCCGAGGAAGTGGCTGATTTATTTCGTACAGCGCAAAGGGTGGGGAACGTGGTGGAGAGACACTTCTGTGGAACCTCGCTCACCATCTCCATCCAGGTTGGTAAGCCAGTCAGCTAAAAAAAAGATTTAATGGCTTGTTTTATCAAGTTTTCAATCTTCTTCCCTAGTCCAATGAGAAAAGGACATTGAAACTTTGAGGGGCAGTAAATGCAAAATCATAGTAAAAAAAAAAAAAAAAAAAAAAAGAGCCAAATAACTGCATTGCGGTCTTCCAAATTTGCCACTGAAAAAAAATCTAAGAGGCAAACCACTAGGAAAGTGGGGTTAATTAATAACTGCAAATCTTTGGAATAAGCCTGCAAACACTCCTAAACACAGTGCTTGTTTGTGAATATTTCAGCAAATGCTCTTCCTTAGAAGAAGCATTTTCAGGACTGACCTAGAGAAGGCAGCAACATCTCCTTGTTCTGCACATAACCCACTGCTTATGATGGAAATAGTGATTCCTCCTCACAGATACTTATATACAGGAAGAGCGAGGTAGCCACGTAAATATGTTTCTGACCTTTCAGTTATTTGTGCTGGGTGTTTTTATACCAAAAATGAACTCTGTTTAAAGCAAACCAGGAGACTAAGCCCATTCATTAGAATCAAAATTTTAAGCAAGCATACTGGGATTAAATTCTCACTTTCATGTGTGTTTTATGTTCACAAGGATCAGAAATCTCTTGCTAGCTATTGAAAAATATGATCTGAAAAAATGAAAAACTGTTATTTCTGTTATCTGAGTTGCTCCCTTTGTCATGACCTGATATGAAAAGGAGCCTTGTCTGAAAACTTTGTGTTGAATGGTCCTCAGGAAAAATATGCTAAATTAACATGCAGTGTAACTGGATGTAAATGGTTATTGAGTAAGATTTCTGAATTCCTGTGTGATCCTTATTAGATCCTTTAACCTGAGACTTCTTCTTCCTTGCTTACAGGATGGCCCCGAAGCTGGACAAACAGTGAAGGTAAGTGCTTATTATGCAGAATACAAATTAAGAAACAATTAGAAGAACTAATAAAAGATCAAAGCTGGTCATCTGCAGACCATTGCTGTATTGTTATTTTATCCTTGAGATTAAAAAATCTTAAGTGTACAATAGCAATAAATACTTTTGACTGAAATTGCTCAAGATATGTTTACAGGTTTTTCTTCCTAGACAAACATTTTCAATCAAGAAAATATCTTTTCTAAGCTGCTCTGTGTATTTATGCAAGGAAAGCCTCTTGAACGAGGCATCTGTTTTAGTTTTTTTGTTTGTTTTATGGAGAAAATATTGCCCTTCCATTCATAATCTCTTTGTTTTTCTGTTTATTGCCTAATGAGTTGTAGCTAATTATAGGAAGAGTTAAACTGAACCGCATTATGAAAATATACCTTTTGTCTGTGCTTTCTCTCAGCATATTCATACCACATTCTTGTTACTGAAGTTCAAATGTAATGGAGCCAGTGAAGCTTCAAACCAGATTTTAAGTGTACTTCTAAAAAAAAGGCGGGGGTTGGAGGGGAAGAGGAGGATTTATGATTATACTCTCCACTTGAGTAATAACACAGATAACGTCCAAGATGGCTCTCCAGCCATGTTTCACTGCCTCATAATGCAAATGCACGTGTAGTGAGATGATGTGCCTGAACATTAGATAAAGGCTATTTTTAACGTTTGGAATCAAAGGAAAGTCAAATATGGTTACGGGTTAGCGCTTCGTAAAATCAAATTAGATGTCTCAGAGAAGCTGTTTGGGTTGATTAAGAGAATGTGTATAGCAACATTTTACTTTTTTCCAATTTGCTGTATTGACCTTATTTTTTTGCTGCTTTTTGTTGCCTGCTTTGAATATTTAACAGAGAGGTAACAGGGAGAGGGAAGGAAAAATTAGAAAATCCCCAAGCTTTGGGAAGTTATAAGGAATGTAATATAATTGACTTCAATACTGTGACAAAAAGGATTACTTGGCTCATGACTTGGAGTGCATGGGGTGGGTTTCACTGGGAATGTCTGTTGATAGGTGAAATAATAAGTTTAAATACTTTCAAAGTAAATTCTGTCATGTTTTAAGAAGCAGGTGACAAGATTTCTTTTAATATCTTGGACAAATGTTTTTTCTCTGTAAAGAAAAGGGTTTACAAGAGTGATTATATTAATATGTGAGAAAAATTTCTAATATCAATGAGCAAAGCCAGATGTAAAAATTCCCATCTTCTGTGACTGTGAACAGTAACAAAAGCTTTTGTAGACCTTAAAGAGGCAGGAAGTCCTGTATCATTTTGTACTCCTACTGGACACAAGGAGCATTAAGTGTTAATCTGTTACAAAATGGCAGCCACCCTTCATGCTTCCTTCTCACACTTTTAATAAGCACTGAGATGAAAGCACTTATCTTTAACTGTGAACCCCCAGACTTCGTAATAAAGAGTGTCTATTCATAAATCAGAGGTTATCAGTTTGCATTCCTCTACTTTTCTGCATCATTGGGTAACACTGTAATTTCTCATCATCACTTTGGGATGTTTATCATCCAAAAATGCCAACAACTATTTTCTTCAGAGAACTTAGAGCTTTCAAAACTTCAATCAGGGAAGAAATTACTATGATCAAGATCTTCTTTTAAGTGAACAATGTGGTGGATACATAAATAGCTGGTTTTGTTCAAAGTGCTCTGAGCCAGAAAGTTTGAAAAAGCACCTATGTGACCTACAAATAATTTATGAACCTTAAATTCAATGTGTCATGTGTTTCTGTAAGTGGATTTCTTTGGGTTTGTTTTTCATGTATCAGAACGCACCATAATCCAGCCTTCCTATGAGGGAGCTTTTAATTAAAATTTCTGGAACAGACTAAACACTGGAAAAACATTCTAATGGTAAGAATAGCAAAACATCACAATAAATATCCAAGGGAGTTTGTGGAGACTGTTTAAGTAGGGTAGGCAAGCATATCTCAGGAGCTAATTAGGTGTAGCTGCATTTGCTTTGAACAGGGCCACGTACCAGATGGCTTCAAGAGTCCTTTCCATTTGTACTTTGTATAATTCTGTGTACCTGTATAGATATGGGCCTCTGTATGTGCTAAGTAGGAACAGAATTACAGGAAGCAGGAGAAGAGTACTGGCTTTTAAATTGCTCAGTGCAAAGCTTTGCTACAAAATGGGAAGGGCTATCAGCCTAACTGAAGGCAAAAACTGAGAAATTCTATCTGAAAATTTAGGTAATTCTCTTTCTTTGTCCACAAGAAAGAATGGTAGTCCATGTCTAAGAAAAACTTTGAACCTGAGTATGAGTCTCAGGTCTTTCTTTGCAATGGAGATGCTGAAAATCATATGTGCAACCTGTGCAAGAGGTTGATTGAAAGGAGATTACCCTTACAGTGTGATTTGGATAGAAATCAGTGACAAGATTGTCTGCCAGTGTTACATATCCCTTGTGCTGGTGTGAAAGCTGCTGATGTGTGCAGCAGATGTGACATGTACTGCAGTGTCAGGATACTTCACTGGTGCATTTTGTGCTGAAACCTTCCTAGCTACCTAATGGGAAGCTGTTCATAATCTAATTGTAGTTTCATTATAGCTGTACTCCGTTCCTCCTTTGAATCTAAGGTAGCAGAGCCTGCAGGACAAAGTTCTTGTGGTCCTTTCAAATTCCCCCATTATTGCAGTCTGTGTGTTTGCATTGGATGGGTCCTTGGCAGTAATTCCACCTGACCCTCAGCTCACCAATACTGTGTAAGTATAGAGTGAGTCTTTTCTTACCCTTTAGCAGCTGGAAATACACACTTGGTAAGGAATTCTGAACCATTTCCCAAGTCTCAGACCATAAAATTATGCAATATATTACTTCATGGTGTTCTTTCATAGTTCTCTACCTATTGTACGTATTCCAGTCCTGCCACCTATTTAGGAGAAGAACAAATGTCCCTCTCCAAAGATGGTCACAGACTTGCACACTGTGTTTTATTGTGAGAGGTTCTTGCAGCACTCACAACAAAGAACCTGAGCAGTGTGTCAGCAAGCAAACCCATCTTTTAGTATCCAAGACATTGAATGCTTCTTGAGAAAGGAAGGAAATTGTATTTAGGTCCTCTCTTAAAGAATATTAATCTCTGCAATTTTGAGCTCTGTTTTTATTGGAGAACACAAAACCCATGGTGTCCTTGTGCCAGGAATGGAGGGTGAGTTTCATGCTGGTTCTGTTTGAAAATGCCTTAAATATCCAGGCAATTTCATGGATCAGGGAAATCAGCTCAGCATCTTAATGCAGGGCTCTTATTGCTATGTCAAGTGAGCGACGTTTCAAGATTTCCCTAGTATATTTTATAGCCTTCTTTTCAACATCAAGTCAGCAAATGCTCCAGCTGCCTTGGTGGATGTATAGCACAGTGTAGAATAAACTCTCAGGTTTACCTTTTACGTGAGATTCAATCACAAGAAACTCCATGTATTCTGTTCTCTGCAAAGGCCAAACAAATCAAGCTGGCAGGAGCATGAGGCAACTAATTTGTCTGTAGAGACAAGATAATATTGCACAGCGAGTGTCCATTGCACAAACACATATGAACACATCCTCTATTTTGCAGCAGTGTTGGAGTCTCCAGCAGCTCAGCACCTCCTCTGTTATCCATGAGTAAGTGCCTGTTTGCCAGTTGCAGGTTCACCTGAATAAATGAGAAAGCGAGGCTGATGGTGGCAGTGTGGGTATATGTGCAGAAAATTATTTTACATGTCGCACGTTCCACTAATTATTTTACACTGAGAAGATTGTCTCGTGATTATTTTTTGATGTACCTGTTTTTCTCTTCCAGATGTTTTTTAATGCCATGTTAAATCAATCCACCTGGCTTGCATTCCTTAGAAATCTTAACCTGAATTGTAGAGCCTGAGGTTCATTTAAGCCCTGCAGACTGCTCTTTCATCCTCTTTGTTTATTTATGTCTTGACCCGAAGTCCTGGGCTTCAGGTTTGAGTCTGAATCTAATCAGATAACATTGCAGACTGATTGCATCGGAAGGACTAAATTCCCTGACTGCAATACTTTTGATGCCTCAGCCTGCTTTCCCTGCAGACCAGCAGATGTGAGTCCTTGTTTAATGGAGCATTGGAAACCTCCTTTTGCTCTCTTAAAAGAACAAAAAAAGCTGGTGTTTGAAAAATGCAAAGATTTTTCTTACCTCTAAACCAATCTAAAAATTCAAATAGAAAAAAAAAACATGGAAGAAATGAATTTTTGAAAACCAGATTGTAGTGAAATGTGAACAAATCATACTCTTGAGAATGATGGTTTTCTCAAAAGCTTGTGTGATGTCCAAAAAATGATTTGATGAAGTGCAGCAGTGTCTTTGAATTGCTCTGAGAACCACACTAATAGTATTTGGTTGGAGACTATGTAATATTGTGGATAGGTAATTGCTACAGCAAATTCAGTAGTCTCAGGGCTGCTATGTCTGTTTTGAGCTCATAATTTTCTTTCTGTTTTGTTACTATATTTAGTTTGGGGTGGTTTGGGGTTAGTGATGTATATTTTCAAAGCTAGGATTATACTGCCCCTCACAGAGATGGAGAAGCAGCAGCTCATCCAGATACTTTCTCCCCTGTCCCTGAAAGCCTTTTGCATTCTAAATAATAGTTATTGTCCTTTCCTTCAGGGCTCTTTTCAAAATCTGCCTTGTGTTGGTTTAATTCTCTGTTCAGTCCCTTAGCCTGACCTGTGTTTTCTATGATGCAGAATAAGTCCCAATTTTCTCTTTGCTTTGTCAGGTCCTTACTTCTGTTCTCTACATGTAACATTTAGTTTTTGACTGAACTAGAAGGTCTCCAGGAAAAACATCATATTGTTGGGGGTTTTTTTGCCATGTTTATAGTCCAAAGAAACACTGGTAAATCTGTAAACCCTCCCCTAATACAAATAATAATGACATACAGGACTTAGAATGAAAACAGTTCTTTAGGCCACCATAATTTCTACAGATCAGTTCCT